GATACTTTCCATCAATAATTCTTTCATCTGCATGCCAAGTCAGGTGTCTTGCATCGGTTTCACTATGAAACATGCGCCTAAATCTCGGAATTATAGGAAAATACCATAAGACTTTTGTTGGAGACAATGTTTTCTTATATCGATACAAACTGCATTTAGGGCACTCATTTAACGATGCATATTCGTTTCAAAACAAAACGCAATCATTTGGACAAGCATGTATCTTATCATAGCTCATGCCAATAGAGTACAACATTTTTTTGGCCTCATAGGTTCGATTAGGAAGATCAGTATCCTCCGGAAGCATATCTCTCATAAGGGATAATAACTCTGTGAAACTTTTATCTGACCATCCATTGCCCTCCTTTAAGTTGTACAACTTTAATACTGCAGAAAGTCTTGTGAATTTAGTGCAACCTTTATACAACAGTTTCTCTGTATCGCTTACCAATCTCTCAAACATTTTGGGATAATCCTAAAGATCTTCTTCAAGTGCATCTGCAATATCTTTGAATCGATCAAAATTTTATGTATCCGTGTCCTTGTCGTATGAAGCATAGGCGGTACTACTTTTCTCCCCCGGTTCAATGTTGTCGTTACTTTTTTCACCGTGAAATATCCAACACGTATAACTTCTACCAATTCCATGCATTAGTAAATGTGATTTCAATCCATCTGCGTCAACTCGACCCACATAACAACAACCCAAGTAAGGACACTTCATTCGACTGGAGTCTTTGGTGTGTTCATCAACAAACTTAACGAATTCCAATACCCTATTCTCGTACTCTTTTGACAATCGATCGGCAGACATCCATTTTTATCCATTTTTTCTACTAATTCAAGTAAAAAAAACACTATAAACAAATTATTCCCTTTTTGTATGAATTAAATGAATTATTTCTATAAATTTATTTCTAGAGTTATTAACATGGACTAAAAATAAATATATCTATATAAAAATAATTGTGTTTTTTAATTGATCGATACAAATATAATTTGAACTTGACTTACCAAAGAAAGAAAATGGGTTATTGGTGTCGACGGCAAATGATGCGACTTTCATGTTCTTTGAATCGGTGATGGTCTTCGACTAACTACACCAATACAAAGGGATCATCAAAAACAAGTTGTATATATATAGGGGTATAATAGCTTAAATCCACAAATCTTAAGAATTTGTTCTTAGACAAGTTTTTTGTGAAAAAATGTATGAGAAATAAATCACTTATGAATCTTTTCTATCATATTATATTTCTTTCCAACAGAAACACAGTATTTAGGAGTAATAATGCTTAAACAATTCTGAAATTTATATCAGTAAAATAGTATCAAAAGTAAAGAAACCAAGCAACCAACAAGTAAAAAAAATACTAGTTCATGGAGAATATAAACATTATAAACAATTCAGAAACCAATTAAAATAACAAAAAAACCCATCATCATCTTTTTTATTCCAAAACAAAGAACCAAAACAAAACCATTCAGAAAGTTCTTACTTAATAATCATATACACATACATAGAGAGAGTGATAGATAAACTATAATATATAACATTGCTTCCTCTTCTGACTTCTCATCACATTTGATCACAAACCAACAAAGATGATACAAAATGCAATAATGTATGACAATAATACAAAATGCAATAATGAAACATACAGAAACTGAATCCAAACTTCAAAAACAATAATATCTTAGAAGTGTTGCTGAAAGTGCAATAATGCTAAAAGTGTTGTTGTTATCAAGCCCTACCAAGAATCGAAAAATCAAAATGCATACTTATAACTCAATTATGCATATCTATAACTCAATTTAGACATCAATAAGAGGATAATGTCTTAGATGTTAGCATAGTACATTATCAATAGGAGGATAACTCAGTTTGGACATCAATGTAGATAAAGACATTTTCAAGAAAGAACTTACCTTGAGAACCGGCCGGTGTGGGTGGAGGACAACCGAGAGAGACGGCGGAGGACGCAGGAAAAGGGTTGGTTGGACAACGACGGTTCATGAGAGGGAAAGGGTTTCTGTTCGTAAGAATGAGAGGGAAAGGGTTTTCGTGTTCGTGAGTCTGTGAAAAGAGAAACAGTACACTAATTCTATTTTTTAATTTTAATTTATATGGCTTTAGACAACGCTTTTTAGAAGCGCTGGCTAATATGGGCCTTTAGTAGCGCTTTTGAAAAGCGCTGGCTAATAGGGTCCTTTAGCAGCGCTTTTGATTTTTTTTTTTAAATTTTATATGACTTTAGACAACGCTTTTTAAAAGCGCTGTCTAAAGTGGTCCTTTACCAGTGCTTTTGATAAAGCGCTTTCTAAAACAACACTTTTAACAGCGCTTTTTAAAAGCGTTGTCTAAGGTCACATTTTTAGCAGCGTTTTTATTTATTATTGTATACAGTTTCTGTGTTTTCTTTAAATTCACTTATAGCAGCGCTTTTATATAAAAGCGTTGTCTAATGTGTGCTGTTAAAAGTCATTTTTACCGTAGTGAAAAGTTTTACACGGTCAATTCATCACAACCATTCATAATTATTACTTTATATATAATTAAAATAAAAGTCACATAATTTAAGATCTGCCAGTTATAATTTATTGTGTTAGTGTAAAAATACTCCATATTGTTAGTGTATTCCCATTAATTCACAAATCAAAACATACTCTTTTATCCACATCGTTTAATATTTTAAGACATATTTTAAAGATTAAATATTAAAATTAAGAATTTGTAATTTTGTAAGGATGGTGTTTAGGGTATGTTGGTAGTAAAGAGAGAACAAAAAGAGAGATGAAAAAGATTATGAGAAGAGAAAAATAGATGAGAAATAGAGATGATTTAATATATTGATTGTTATAAGAGAAAAACAAAAGAAATAGAATAAAAAGAAGTGTTAATTTAAAAAAAATATAATCAAAATACTCCCAATTAAAAAAATAAAATAAAAAATTACGTTATTAAAGAACTTAATTTAACTTTTAGTAATTAAATAAAAATAAATAAGTTTTAAATCAATGAAAATTATTATTATTATAATTAAATTAATTAATTTTATTTTTGACTTAAACCAAAAAAATTAAAAATTATTTTAAAAAATAAAACGAAAACATGAAAGAATAAATATTTAAAACACCTCAATTTATATTATTAACTTTTTTACTTAAGAATTTATTTTAAAACAACTTGATATGTGCAATGGTGACAAACGCTTGGAGACCATTTTCTCAATTTGCAATTTATTTCTTGAGCATAAAATAAAGCTTTAAGAATATAGCATTGGAAGAAAGGGTGAAAGTGGAATAAAGTTAGAAGCTTCTCTCTCATCTTTCTCCTCTATTATGAAGAGAAGATAAAGAGTAGTGGGTCACATAGTTTTTATATCTCTCTTCTCTATTTCACTGCATTCCAAACAAGAGAAAAATGGTCATCTCTTCTCTCTTTCTCTCTTCTCTCTTTCTCTCTTTTTTAGTTCTCTTCAAGCAAACAGGGACTTACTTTCAAGCTTTGTAAGCTGATTATTTGTGTGCGTGTCTAGTAATTGGCCACAAAAAATTTCAGAATTTTAAATTCTAATTGTTTGTATAATTAAGCTTACAAGTTATAAAGTGTTTGAAAACGTGTTGTAACATCTAAGTAACACGTGGATGCCTAGGACGGGAAAGGAAGAAAAGAAAACACTATTGGAACACCTAGATCCATTACTTCCAAAAGAATTTCCTAATACATCTCAAAAACCTAATGTTCGTTAGGAGCAACTTTCACTAACTTTTTCACCTCAAATTTGCGGTTCAAATAGTTTACGGCAACTTTCTAATCTAATTTGTTGTTTATGTGTTTTTTGTTTGGTCCTTCATCATTAAGCTAAAACTAATCTTCACAAATTAAATCATTATTCCCTTACCAAAACAAAAAGCATATACCCCTATCCTTAAATCCCCATCACATTCCCACACCCGACAGATCAAGTTTGCATGCATGGTAGTGGAATTATCTCGATTAGGCTCTGCATTCTTATAGTTTTATGTTAAATTGAAAAGACATATACAAAACATACATCTCAAGACTAAAGCCTACTTTTAAAATATATTATATATTAAAAAAACTAATTAATTTTTTATAAATAAAAAAATGAAATATAAAAATTAAACATAAAAACCTACTTTTAATCGTAGTATAATTCTTATAATTTAATTTATTTATTCATTCGATTTTTATGTTAAAGACGGTCGCTTTAGACCACAAATTTATATAGGTCTCAAATATTTTATTTTAATTTAATTAACAATCATATTTTATGAATATTTATATTTAATTATATTCTATACATTTTATTCATTAATTTTGATTGATCTCATATCTTTGCTATTTCATGAAATCACTAAACCGTTTTTTTTGTATTAAAAATTGAAAAATATTTATTTTCAAATTATATTTTTTATGATAAAGTTTCGCAAAAAATTTAATATATAATAATTGTCATATTTACAAATCACATATCATTTAAAAATAAAAATATTATTAATATTAAATATAAAAGTATTAAAGAAATCAAAATTATTTAAATTTTAAAAAATTGCGTTAATCAGTTAAAATAAGAGAACTATATATATATATATATATATATATATATATATATATATATATATATATATATATATATATATATATATATATATATATATATATATATATATATATATATATATATATAGTATTATTTTTAAGAGATCGGTTAATTTAAGAAAATCAAGTGAGGCTTGAATATAAAAATACTTTTAATTATAGCATTCTTTTTATTATTTATTTTGAGAATAGTTGTACTATTTTCTTTTTCAAAAATCTTTTGCTCTAGTGGACCCCACATGTTCCCTTCTCCCTCCCTTTAAATACTCCTCCCCTCACCTTCATTTCCTCCCTTTTCCCTTTCCTTCCTCCCTCCGGTTCACTCTTTGCAATTTACCGGTTTTTTTAAAATCTCTCTTATTTGAGCCGAGCCATGTCATTCCAAAGCGAAGCACCGGTTCAGTTACCATGCACTCCGGTTCTCGAAACCATGCTTTCAGAAAGTGAAATACAATACCTCATTTCCCTCATTAACCAACCAGAATATCCAACCAGTCCTAGATCAGGTTCACAGGGTTCAAACCGGACGGTTTACTCGTCAGAAGAAAGAAAGTTGAGGCGCATGAAGTCGAACCGGGAATCAGCTCAACGGTCCCGTTCCAGAAAGAAGAAGCATTTAGAGAATATGACGAACCGGTTGAACCGGTTGAAAATTCAAAACCTAGAACTAAAAAACCAACTATCATTCACCATGCATAAATATCTTCTACTTTCCCTAGAGAATGAACAGTTAATATCAGAATCCATTGCTCTTTTAGCAACACTTTCAGATTTATGTGCCATTTTAAGCAACACTTATAAGCCACAATGAGCTACTACTTTACTACATTTTTTTTCTGCTTATTTATACGTAGAAGAAGCAAACATGCTTTTCAAGCACTGTAGTGGCTTTTGATAAGAAGCCCACGTTGTTGGAAGTACAATATAGGTGTTTTGTGGGTTTACTTTTTTATTTATTTTATCATTGTAGCCTTTAACTTTTAGCTTTTATAAATTTATACTTTATTGAGTGGTGAAAATGAAGAGATGGTGAGAAAAGTTTGTAAAGTGTTTAGGGTTGATTGGAATCTCTGTTGAATATATGTTGTTGGTGAGGAGTCTTAGTTCAATGTGATGTAAATATGCTACTGGCTATGTAATATGGACCAAACAATGAATATGATATAGTTTTTATTTTATTTTGTCTTTTTGGATAATTTTACTTGACTTTAGACTAGCTTGACCGCTTATACATCTTACAAAGACATATATAAGCAGTCATGCACATTGGTGGATTCATGTATTATGGTCTTTTCTCCTAAAAAATAACAAAGAATTGAGTGGCCCATATTTCAATCGTGTGAGATCATAATGGGACCCTCTGGCATGAACAATTTTTGAAATTTTCCTCCCATATATTCCTATTCCCCTTATTTCTTATTGTACAGCATATTTTCACAAAATACTCAAACTACACCTTTAATCCGGTGTAGAACAAGAGGTAAGTAATATAAAGAAAGTGATACAAAAAAGTTACTCTTTCAATGTGGTGGTACGAATCTCAATGAAATATAATCTTACAAGAATGAAGTGAATGAATATCTCTTATCGTGTGTGCACTATAAAAAAAAACTGTAATTAGTTAAGTGAATTTCATCTCGGAAAAGTAAAAATCACTCTGCAATGTAATAATTACGGAGTTGTTCAAATATCTTACAAAAATGTTAGTAGTAATTTATTACAAGGAAAAAATATTTTGTAAATTAATCGGATGACAATTTTGTCAGGTAAATTTCACCTCGCAACACCTGTTCCAGAGTTGAGTTGAGCAGAACACGCGTGTCAGTGCAGAGTAGAGCAGAATATTCAGAGCATAATAGATACAAGGTTGCGAGGTGAATTTCACCTGATAAATTTTGAATAGACAAAAAGTTATTGAGTGAGTTTCATCTAACAAATTTTTTAATATTTATAATAATATAATATATTATTCTATATTTTTTTATCATATTTAATAATATATTTCTGTTTTACAAAAATAATAAATTAAAATCTATTATATTATTTATTTATTTATTTATGAAAAAAGGAAAAAAAAAGTTGTGTACTTAATTCTAAAAATTTAACATACAAATTTATAACAATTTTACCTAATTAGCATATAGTATTCTAACAGGCATATATTCTAACATTTTAACATATTTATATACAAAATCATACAAATTTCATAAAAAAAAATCGAAAATATTGTACACAAATCTAACCATCACTACTTATATGATACAAAATTCAATAAAAATCATAATTTAAATCAATTCATACAATCCAATATAAAGTAACAAATAATTTACTTCATATGTGTACCTTATATAATAAATTTGATGAAAAAAACGAAAAGAACTTTGAGTCTTGAAAGTGTTGATTTGTGTTAAAAATGAAAGCTTTGAGAGATTTTGAGGGTTTTGAAGTGTGAAACCGTGGATGGGAGAAAGAGAGAATGAAAGAGTGAAATTTGTTGAATCTGGAATGTGAGAAAGGAAACTGAAGTGGTGGTATTTAATGTGAAGACAAAAGCTTTCTAAAGAGTTTTGATGAAGACAAACTATCATTGATTGCAAATGGAATGGCTCAAATCAAGACATCTAAATCAAGTCAAATTTATCAAAGTCTTGAAGAAATAGTTTTGTGAACAAATCAATTGTCAAGGTATAAAGTATTCAACCTCTTAATATGCATACAAGTGTTCATAACAATGTTTCATGTATGCCATAAATCTTCAAACATGATTTAGAACTCACAACTTTATGTTTCATTCATTTTTCAAAAGGAAAATTTCAAACCTGTCTAAGGAACCCAGTTACACAGTTATGGTAACTGATTACCCTGTATCATTTCTCAAAAATCAAAAGCTACTGTCTTGGAGAACCCGGTTACCCAGTTACGATAACCGGTTACCCAACATTGATTTTCAAATTTTTTAACGTTGAGAAAGGTGATACCTGGGTACCCACTTATGGAAACCGATTACCACCAAAATAGTATGAAAATTTTATATGTCTCTTGTCCAGAAAAGTATTATGGTTTTATTTGTGAAGCATGACATCTTTCCATTGAATCATACCATTTTGAAAGGTTGTATAAAGGCCTATATAAACTCATAATTATCTTTAACCTCTCTCAATCTACAAATCAAATTACATAAACTCTTTATCTTTCAAATTTTGAAGTGTTCTACACCAGAATTTTTATTGAAACTTTCTACACTCACTTTTCATTGAAAAATTGTTCTAAGTTTCATATCATCATTGTGAACACTTGTATCAATTATTGAGAATTATTTTGCTTGAAGGAGAAGATCAATCCAATATTGATATATTGTATCATATTTCAAAATCTCTTGTAAAAAATTCAGAATACATTATTATTTCCCTTGCTATTCAGGATTATTGAAAGCAAGTGTGTGCATTGAAGAGGATTGTTCTTCTTGTACTTACTTTTCAGATCTTAAAGGTGTTAAGAGCCTTTGATCTCCCTATATGTTATATAGTAAACATCACAATTGGTGTGAATAGGCTGTAAAATCATTCTAATTATAGTGAGATCTCTTTTGTGTTGAAAGGGTGCTGGAGTACTCTCGGACTGTAAGGGGAACCAGGATATATCCTTGTGTTATTTACTTTCCGCATTTTATCGCTTTCATCACTTAACCAAAAAACCAGAAAAGAAAGACCAAATATTCATAAAACCGGAAATAATTTTAAAAGTCCTAATTCACCACCACCCCCTCTTAGACGCACTCTTATACTTACATTTAAAGCAAACTTACAAGGTGAAAAATACCCCACAACTTTTAGAGTCGTTGAGACTTGATAGGTGATTTTCACCTTACAATGTTTGTGTCAGTCAAACGTCCACCTGCCACACTATGCCATCAGTAAATGCCAGACATAATTTTCCTCCAATTTTTTAAAACATAGTTGCGGGGTGATTTTCACCTAACACCTTTCTTTTCAAAAATTTCAAACTTTCCACTGTCTGTTGCGAGATGGAAAAAAATTTATTTATTTGTTTTTATTAAAACAGAGTTGCGAGGTAGAATACACCTCACAAGTGCCTTAATTTGTGAGGTGTCTAACACATGGCAAACTCACTCTGCTAATTGTTTACTGTGAAATTTGGTAAACAATTGCTGGTCTTCCAAATTGAATAAAAAATGGTAACTTGCAGGATCGACCAGATTGATCCTAAGTACATGTGTTCTTAATTAAACTTATGTTCTTGAAAGCGAAGAATACTTTCGACAACATTCTTATTCTTTTAAAAACAATATTGATTTCAATTGTTACTTCGAATACAATAATGTAACGCTTTAAAAAAAAGATTGGAAGGTTTTCGACTGAAATTTAAAGGAAATGTATAAAACTTCAATTAAAGTTGAATGACAATAAACATAAAATTGGTGTATCATACATACATTTTCATAACTCGTTTCTCGAACGCTGGTACTTTGAGTAATTTAGAGTAATTTTTACAAAGATATGAACACACCGAATTCTAATACTAAGACCCCTATTTATACTAATTCGACCAAAACAGTCTCTTCATAAAATATTGTCATGTTCGATATCTGCATGCGCCTTCGAACCTTTTGCTTCCATGTGTCTATTTGGATAATATCAAACTTTCAAATTTTAAAAACTCTTTTGTCTTTGAAGCGCCAAACGTGACGGTCGAAATATCTAATCTGATACTTCGAATAGTTTAAATCCCAATGGTTTACATACAAACCTTTTGCCAACACTTAGCGAAATAAAACTCTTATCAACTCTTCATCCATCGAAGTCTTCATAGAGACTCCTTCATACTTCCTTTCGAACTACATTCTTCTCAAAATATATCATTTCAGCTTAAGAGCTCATATAGTCAAAATTTTCAGTCAACAAATTGCCCCCAATAAATGTGTGTTTCGACATACTTGGAGAAACATATATTTTTTGTAAAACTATTATGTTTCGATGGACAAACAATCTTCATGATGATCATTAACTGTTATGAAGTCAGAACAATCATGATGCACTTTTTCAAACCGTCTAATCAAGATGTGCATGTAGCAGTTCCATCATTGCTACTGAAGTAGGTTCCTAATATGGCCTTTCAACAAGTAACCTTCTTCTTTAACTTATCAAAAAACACCACGTGTCCCACTAACTCAAATACTTAAAATATAAATTGAATGATTTCCAACTATAAATGCCTTTCTTCTTTCTCAAACACACTTTTTCATCTTCTTAACCTCTGGTTTTCAAAAAACTTACACTTTCTCTTTCTCAAAAACCTCCAATCGTCCAAAATTTGAACTTTCAACCATGGCACCATCCAAAAAGGGTAGCAAATATGATAAGAGCGTGAAGAACAAGGAAGTGAAGAACAACAATGACACTGCATTTCAACCGATTCACCACATCATAAAACCCCTTCTCATTGGAAATCAAGAATTGGTTCCAACACCACATGTTTGTGCTGAACAACAAGTTATTTATGCTTCTCAAGTAATAATCCATTTTATCCTTGCTGATAAAACCCTAGGGTATATGGGTCCTATGTTATCTTCTTCATGTTTATAACATATTAAAGATATTTTCCCAGTTTACTATGATACAAAACCCACTGTTAACAAAGCTACCTCCTAAGAAGAAAAAGAATGACAATCATGATAAGCAAATAGCCGAATCATCTGTAGAGAAAATCCAAAAAGAACCTCTCTCAGTTTCTATAACATAAGATAAACCCTTTTAATTCGACTATGTAACTGAAAACTTTAGACCTTTTAGG